TGTGATGTCCTATATTGCTACGCACGCCCTCTAGTTACTATTTTCAGATCTCTTCTGATCCCTAGTTCTTTTCTCAAGTGACTACCTTTAACTGGACCTTAGCAGCTGGACTGGAAGTATTTGGTTGAATTCCTTTTTGATGTATTTCTTGTACAATTTTGTAAGAGTTCTTCCCTTATCCCTGCTTCTGTTTAGGAGGGGACAGTGCCAAATGGTTATTTTATGTAGCTCCTTGTATTCATTACATGGTATCATTTTAACACAAGGAAGTACTGCAGGCTTATTCCACTGTTGGGACACCTGATTACATTGCTCCAGAGGTTTTATTGAAGAAAGGATATGGATGTGAATGTGATTGGTCAGTATCTTTGTATTTTGTTCTCTTTTTCAAGTCAAAGCTTATATGGTTTTATTACATTTTCTGTGTATTCCTCTCACAGGTGGTCACTTGGTGCGATCATGTATGAAATGCTCGTGGGATACCCACCATTCTATTCTGATGAACCTATGTCCACCTGTAGAAAGGTAAGAACTGGAATTTGCTCCTTGGGTTATGCATGGTTGAACGTCTTTTTAGTGTTTGGAATCCACTGGTTATCATCTGTGCCCATTCATACCTCTGGTCTTGTTACTCGTGCCGTAGCTATTTTTTGTTTGACTTCAACTTTTGGGTTATGTTGGAGACTTCAGATTTTCTGGTGTTTCAGTTAGTGTTCTGGTTTGGGGTACAAAACGTCTGACCTGCTTCTAATTATTAGAACTGACAAAGATATTACTAATAGAAATTCAATAGTCTGCCAATAAACTTGAACTTTTTACCTAGATAACACTCAAAGACTGCTCTATTGGTCATGTCTAAGTTGATAAAAGACCTGGAAATGTAATTGTTTGTCTGAGCACAGTGAGCGGTTTGGTATGTGAAGGAAACACTTATCGGCTATTTGCTTAGAATCATTATAATTCATTCAGTGTCTCACTTATATGGAAAGGACCAGGAGGAAGTAATACAGTTTAACATTATCATTATGCATTTGAATCATGCCTCTCTAAGTTTTATGGTGCAGAATCTCATGCTCTGTTTTGTTCATCCAGAGTTTGGGGGACACCAAATATCCTTGGGCAGAAGCCTATATTCGAGGAATTTATTGGGATTCTAGAGACTGGATGACATGTAGCTTTGTTGTTTCCACTATATTTAGTGGTCTATATGTGTATTTCAATATTTACCACAACTTAACATGTCAGCAGTTCACATAAGTCAACCTGGAATGAAAGCATTCTTATGACATCTTTCTAGGCACATAAGTGTCTATAGGAAAAACAAGTGTTAAATGGATTTGCTACATGACCAATTTTAAACTACAAGAAGAGAGGTTCAATTACTATTCAGTGATTGGATCTTGGTACCTATATGTTCTTGTTTGACATCCATAGCCATTTCACTGTGACATAGGGGTAAGGTCCAAAAAAATCTGTCATGTTCTCTAAGCATGATTATTGCATTTAGCAACATTTGCCCAAGATGACTTCTAAGCGTTTTCTTCGTGCTGATTTAATCTTGCTCTTCTCACACTTTTCAACTATTGAAATGCCACACTGGATCAGCTCTATTGCATCAATTATAAAGTATATAACCTTTGGTGAAAACTTGGAATATTTGCATCAAATGTTGTAGCTTTCCAACTTCAAGTTCCATTGTGATTCTTTGTTGTTGACAATTAACTTTTGTCTTGTTACAGATAGTAAATTGGCGGACTCATCTTAAATTTCCTGAAGAGGCAAAACTATCGCCAGAAGCAAAAGATCTCATATGTAAGCTCTTGTGTAATGTAGAGCAGAGACTTGGTACCAGAGGTGCTGATGAAATAAAGGTACTTGGTGTATTCAATGTGAAATCTTGTGAACACTTGGAATGGGATTGAACTTGAACAAATTTAATCGGTTAACTGTCCTTCAGGCTCACCCATGGTTCAAAGGCGTTGAATGGGATAAACTTTATCAAATGAAAGCTGCATTTATTCCAGAAGTTAATGGCGAGTTGGATACTCAGAATTTTGAGAAGTTTGAAGAGGTATGCGGGTCACCGCTCAGTCTTGTTTTCCCCATCAGTGCTACTGTAACCCTTTTGGTGCAATTCTTATTTGCTTGCTTGTCTTCTTTTGCAAATTTGGTTTGCAGGGCGACAATCAAATTCCAACAGCAGCAAAATCAGGTCCATGGAGGAAGGTTAGTACCAATAAACTGCTGGTGAATTCATAATTTATAGGTGCATGTTGAAGAGAGGTTAACTCTGTCATTCTGCATTTGAATAATCAACTGATAGAGATGATTTTGTAAACTGCTTACTACTTTTTATAATTCATAGGGGCATCCAGTAATGCATTCTGCGATTGAATAATCAGCTGATAGGAACCATTTATATGGTCTTTATTCTAACTTCACTGTGCATATGCAAACTTGAATTTTTGCTAGTTCTCTGGGAGTAGCCATTTGCTTTGTATACTTATCATATCATAGCCCAAATGCATTTTCTAGATGACAAATTAGAATTCCTGTTTACTACTACTCTATGTGACAATTGAACCGAATTGACAGTGAGATCAAAACAGATATATCTGTTTATTGAGCTGCTAGTGAGCAGACAAAGGTGCTGGTTTTTTGGTAGATAAATTCTGTAGTTTTGCAGAATTAAGTATACGGTTGTTTTTTCTGTTTCCAAATTGAAAAAATCCATGTAGTTTAACTACTTCTGAGGCATTGTAAAGGATAAAGGGTAAAAGCCAGTTGATAGGGAAGATGCTGCCTCCTTTATCAGGAACTAGTTTGGTAACAAAATTGTGTATAGAACTGTTTCAGTATTGAGTAAGAGGAAAATGTGTTTTTTTCCACCTCGGAAAAAGATAAAGAGAGAATGTTTCATTTTGCTATTTATCATCTGCTAATTTGGTTCATCAACTTCTATTGTCGTTTTCATCATGCACTCATAAGATTCCTGTCAGTGTTGAACCCTGTTTTGACCCTTTTGTTTGTTGTTACAGATGCTCTCCTCAAAGGATGTCAACTTTATGGGTTACACTTATAAAAACTTTGAGATTGTGAATGATAATGATGTTTCTCAAATGGGTACTTATCTTTTCCTTGCAGTAGATTATAATTATTCCATTTATCTTATTTGTAATTTTCAGTTTGTGTTTGTTTTGTAACGTTTATTTCTGTTTTTCAGCTGAATTGAAGAAGAAGAGCAACAAAGCTAAGAGGCCAACTGTGAAGTCACTTTTCAGTAGGATATCTGTCTTCCTTTTTAAAATTATTCCGGTTTTCATAGTACTATTGTAGACTGGAATTATTACTTTAAACATTGCTCCCTAGAAAAAGAGATGCAATAACCAAGGAACGGTAATAATAGTGCCATGTCTTCACTTGCTCGAGTCGTAGTCATTTTCAGGAAACCTTATCCCAGGAAATGAGTTGCAACTTATACTGGATTGAGCATCACCGTCCTTTATATATATAGATTTTAAGAGTTGGAGGTGAAGAGATTTTTTTTTGAATTTCCCATCATGGTGGTAATTTGTCAGAAGGTAACAGCAGATATCTTATTTGATGACTGAGAAATCCGTGAAGGACCAACCTGTAGGACCAACCACAGCCTTTAAAACTCAGGGATAATGGGTTCGTCTCTCTACCCTTCGCCGCTTAAATACCAGGGTTAGTTTGCATGGTGCATGGCTCGAACCTGTGACTTATGCCACTAGTCCCTCAACTTTTGCCTCTTGAACTGAGCCCGGAGGCTCGAAACAGTGGATGTTACTATCCATTTTTAAGAAAACATCTATGCCTCAGTCCCCAACAAGTTGGTGTCGGCTACTATATGAATCCTCAGTATTTCATTTAAGCTCAACTCATGCTATCAATCTGCTTTCAAGAAAATGATTTGATTATTGGTTGACGTTCTGTTTGCAATACCTTAACAGCATCTTGTCCATCTCTTTCATTTGTTCTTTCTCGTTTTTCTTCCTACTATTCATCTCTTATGAATCACGACAGAGGGTATATGATATAGTTGGCAAGAAGAAACATGCTAATATATGTATTTTCATATGTTTGTAGGTGAGGATTCAGAAGCCACCGACTCTCAACAGGCTCATGGAAGTTTCCTTAATCTCTTACCTCCACACTTGGAATCCTCAAAGCAGGCTGAACAACTATAGCTACATCCAATACTAATTTGTTAATAACTTCATGACCATAGCCAAACCAAAGCAAACAGGGGCAACGCCAACCCCTCGTCAAGTCAATAGCTTTCGTTGTTGTGTTTTTTAACCTAGGTGTATTCCGAGTGTAAGTAAAGTATTCACGACGAAGGCAGTTTTGCAAATTCTGGTGTAACTGCCTTGGTTCATAGGTTGTGCTTGTTTTGTGTAAATTATTTCTTGGAAGTACATATATCATTCTTTTTGTTGCTAGTTTGTAATTTTGCTTGCTCTCTAAGTTGCAGAAACTTGTGACCTTGTTCTTGTAATCTCTTCAAATTTGGGTTTATGTATTTCAATAGCCCCATTCTCTAAAGATGAATGTTCTTGCTGGTTTTTTCTATTATGGATCTTTGGCTATCTCAACTATCATGGAAACTACCCTTTATTTGTCTGCTTTTGCTTTCTTTCAACAAAGATGATAGAAGAATGGAGAACAAGAATATCTCTTGGAGTATAACAAGTGTTTCGTGGAATTAGTCGAGGTCTGGATTCAAAAACTATGGTTATAAAAAGAAAAAAAGAAATTCTTAGAGTTGCGAGTGTTTATCGAAAACAATCTTTCTACCCTACAAAGGTGGGGTAGAGTTTGCGTATATCCTATCCTCTCCAAACCCCACCTATGAGACCACACTTATCGACCTACATTTCAATAATTAGTGAACATATGTTATAACTGTGCAAAATCTAAAAGAAATAATATAGCACCAACAATCCCTACTTGTAATCACACTTTCAATTCCCAGCTTATGTAAATAATAAATGTAAGTACAACATCCTTTTCAGCAAAAACAAAAAAAAACTTTTGTCCAAGTATCTTTCTTATAATACAAAAAAGAAGAAGAAAAATTTGGGTTACAGCAAAATTTTGAAATGGTTTCAACTTGTATAAAAAGACATGAACAGAAACAACATTTTATCTGCTAGTACCAGAATCCTTGACTTGTACCACAACCTTGTTGATATTGAAAATTAGCCCATGCTTGCGAGGGCGGATCCACAATATCTGTTAATAAGAACTTCATGAACTTTAAATCCTGAATCCGTTTCTGTTTGTTTCAATCAAGTGTGTTGTAGAACAAGGCGCTGACTCTGGTTTAGTCCGCGTTGAGAAGTGGCTGCAGTGCCTTGACCATAATTGACATGTTTGGTCTGAAAGCTGGCTCTTCTTGAATACAAAGTCCTACAAGAGCTGCCACCTGAGAAAGGAATAGCCAAATAGTGGTTACATAATGAGAGAAAAAACTAGTCCCTTTTTGCTTTACAAGAATTTTTTCAAATATAAAAAATTAAGAAGAAAACCTTAGCAACTGCCCTTGGAGGGTACTCATTATTTAGTTTTGGATCAACACATTCTTGAACTTTATCATCACTTAATAGTGGAGTTGCCTGCATTGAAGATGAATCAGTATATTAGAGGCACAAAGAGAGCTAAACATTACTAACAATTCTATATCGCTCGGACTCTTCAAAAATGTTGTCACAACCCGTACTGGATCCTCCAAAAGTGCACAACTTTCAAATTTAGTTCAGATGAGATGAACCTGTCAACATTTTTGAAGAGTTCGAGCAACGTAACTAACAATTATTAGGTAGGATTAAGAGAATCTACCCATGTAACAAGACTTTGTTTCCCTTCAGGCATTGTATAATCAACTGCCTTCCTTCCTGTCAACAGCTCTAAGAGAACAACAGCAAAACTATAAACATCACTTCTGTCTGTTATCTTTTCTCCCAAGGCATACCTGTACCATAAATTAATTAACATCTTATTATGGCACGATTTTCCCGGTAAGTTGAGGGTTCGAGTCACAATGGAGGATAAATGAGAACATGTTAGGTTAAGGTTAACAATGCAAAAGGCTTACTCTGGACCATGGTAACCATAACTCTCCTCAACTCTAGTGGAATCCTCTGAAGACTGATTTGTTAAATCGAAATCAGCAACTTTCGCGGTAAAATCATCAAACAGTAGTACATTGCTAGATCTGACATCGCGATGAATAATTGGTTTGTCATGTTTGTGTAGATATTCAAGGCCACTAGCTACACCACAAGCAATTTTAACTCTCTGATTCCAGGTAAGAACTAAACCAGGCTCAGCATTTTCTACTCCTTTTTTACCTATACAAACAGAACATCCAATAAAAACTAATGATCCAATACAATTGCTAGGTTTGAATCTGAATGAACTATCGACGTACCATGTAAGACATCATGCAATGTGCCCATGGTTGCAAACTCGTAAACCAAGATTCGATTATTTGCTTCTAAGCAATAACCTAGCAGAGTCACAAAATGCTCATGTTTAAGTCCTGACACCATTTGTACCTGTATACACAAGAAGGAGATTAAAACATCTCGAGACATTGTTCTATTCGTCCCAAAATAGTACTCGAACACACACCACTCACCTGGTCTGCGAAGACAGGATCTGATTCTGAAGAAGAATCAGTATCCAATTGCTTTATTGCTACTTTCTGTCCATTGCTTAATGTAGCACCATAAACGCGGCCATAAGATCCCTCAGCAATAAGACCTTTCTCCGCGAAGTTATCAGTCAGTATATTTATCTCATCCAAGGACATGTCTGGACGTACATCAATTGGTACAACTTCTTGAGGAGGAGATTCATTTGACTCTCCTTCTTCATTAGCTGCATTATCAAAGAAACAACATTGAAGACGTAAGTAAGTAAATAGAAGTGCTTTCTCTCTAACAACTTAAGCTTTTAGATGATATGATCACACAATTCAACAGTTTTCATCAAGCTAACACGCGTAAATCAACAGGATCATATCATGTCCCATGCACTAATAAGTCGATTTAGATCATAACGACTGAAGTCACATATCAACACTATGATAAAAAGACTAGGTTCTTCAATTTAGTTCTTTCTTATAGACTTTACACTACTTTTTTTTTTAAAACTGCTATGCTTTTTTCATTGTTTTCTTTTCCTTTTCCTTTTTCTTGAGTTTGATGCACTTGAACCGAGAGTCTTTCAGAAACAACATCTCTACCTCCATGAGGTAGTGGTAAAGCCTGCGTACACTCTTCTCCAGACTCACTTAGTGGAATTTCACTGGGTATGATGTTGTTGTTCTTCTTCAATTTCTATTGTTGCTTCAACGGCGGATCCATGATTTTCACTATGGGGGTTCAAAAAATAAGAAAAATTCACCAAGGGGGTTCGAAAAATAAAAAAATAGTAATTAGACCTCTATAAATATATCTTATATATACCGTGTAACTTTTTGTAACACCATCCCCCTCCTAGATCCGCCTCTGCTCGGGATCTACACTACTTACTATGATTTAGAACACAAGGACTAGAAACTACATATCAACAATTTGATGCTCAAGCAAGACAAAAAAACTTAACTATGATAGTAAAGAAGAAAGATTTTTAACCTTGATTATGGGAATGATGTAATCTATCTTTGATGAAATTGATGATAGATTTGATGGAACTAATGAAGATGATAGACAAAATGGCACTGATGATAAGGAAGCCATAGCTGACAAGATTTGATTCTGAAGAAAACGACATTATTGTTCTGTTTACAATTTTTGGAGTTAATTTCTTTACTTTATACTACTAATAAAGCAATGGGAAATGTTTTATTTTAGTCAAATAACAACTACACTTCCGAATAATATAACAGCAATTTGCAAGGCTGCTAACTACACATTTGAGTTGTTCAATTTACAATATAATTAATAAATTCAAACCAACAAGAGGATAAAGTTAAACAATGAGTACATAGGCCAAGTTGCTTAATTATTGTTACTTTTTTTAGTCTACTTGCAAGACACCTAAACTTTGGGTTGCCCTTTAGCCATATACTATCCCTCACATCTATTTTTCGAATTTCGAGATTCAAACAAATTCGTAATTTTTATATAAATTATTAATTATTATAATTTATAATACTTTTAATGAAGTTCTTAAATATGTAAATTTGTTTCAAAGAGTTCAAAAATTCTATATATGAATCCATAATCAAAATTAAATTATTCAAAATATGTTGAAATAAGAGAATATATGGTTCTTCTTTTATTGTATTTAAAATTATGGCTTTGAACTTAAATAAACCCTCGATCTTGAAACATGATTGAAATACTCCCTTAAATTCTCACCAAGTTTAGAGGTGTTTTCAATACTTCTCTTGATTTTTTATTAAAAGTCTCACGGTCCTACAAGAGTTTGTAACCATTTGCTATAGTATGTGGCAAATCGGAGTGTATTTATGTTCAGTTAGTCAAATAGAAAAATGCTTTTAAGGTTATCGATAGTTCGATAATGAAACTAATAATTCACGTCAAACTCGTATTTTCGGTTTCTCTCATTTATTAATTTGAAAGAATATTTTAAACTTACCCCAAATATTTGAAGTACTTCATTTTTTCCATCGGAACTCTCCTTCTCCTTCTGTTCTTCGTTACAGAAACAGCTGATTGTAAATACCAACAAAGACTCCATTTTTACTGTTAAATGAGAATCACCATTGAATCACATTCTGAAATAATCTTTCTGATGAGCTTTTCAACGAAGTAATTGACGATCCCATTGAGCCAAAAATGGAATCTTCCAGTGAAAATCTTGTCAAAACTCTTTTAAGGAACCCATCTTCCATCAAAACAAAGTCACAAGCTAAGCAACTCCATGCCCAAATAGTGAAAACAAGAGGGTCAAGGTCTGTTTCACTTGCCACCATCATTCTTGGCATTTACTCTGACCTTAACCTTCTTAAAGAATCTTTAGAAGTTTTCAACAACTTTCGTTATGTACCCACTAAAGCTTGGAAGTCTGTTGTCAGGTGTTACTCTTGTAATGGTCATTTTCGTGATTCTTTAGCTTGTTTTGTTGAAATGAGGGGTTGGGGAAAGTTGCCAGGTAGTGATGTTTTCCCTTCTGTTGTAAGAGCATGTACCCATTTGAAGGAATTGAGGGTTGGTGAGTCTGTTCATGGTTGTGTTATCAGGTTTGGTATGGAATCTGATCTTTATACTGGGAATGCACTCATGAATATGTATGCAAAATTGCAGGTTTTGTCGCATGACTATCATGTGTTTGATGAAATTCCCCAGTCAGATCACGTTTATAGTCGCAGAAGCAGTTTGACTCAAGATTCTGAGATTGGAATTCTGAGAAATGAGTTGATAAGAAGTGAAAAAAGTCATTTTGAGTCTTTAAGTGGACGGAGAGTGAAAAATGCTACAGGATTAGATAGTGTGAGTAAGATTTTTCAAATGATGCCGGATAAAGATGTTGTTTCGTGGAATACTGTGATTGGTGGAAATGTACAAAGTGGGTTGTATGAAGAAGCTCTGGAAAGGTTAAGGGAGATGAGCAATGCCTATTTGAAGCCCGACTGTTTCACTTTGTCAAGTGTCCTTCCTGTCTTTGCGAGGCATGTAGATGTCTTAAAGGGAAAAGAGATTCATGGTTATGCAATTAGACACGGGTTTGACAAAGATGAGTTTATTGGGAGTAGTTTAATTGATATGTATGCAACTTGTACCAGGGTTGAGGATTCTTATAGGGTGTTTAATTTATTATCAGAAAAGGATGACGTTTCATGGAACTCAATAATAGCAGGATGTGTGCAAAATGGTACTTTTGATGAAGGGCTGGGACTGTTTAGGCAGATGTTAGCAGCTAATGTCAAGCCTGTGGAAGTTTCTTTCTCAGCTATACTGCCTGCCTGTGCTCATTTGACAACACTACATCTGGGGAAACAGCTCCATGCATACATAATAAGAGTGGGGTTTGCTCAAAACATGTATATAGCTAGCTCACTTGTGGACATGTATGCCAAATGTGGGAAGATAATGACTGCTAGATGTATTTTTGATAGGATGGAGATACACGATTCAGTTTCATGGACGGCCATAATCATGGGGTATGCATTGAATGGTCATGCCCGCGAGGCCACTATTCTTTTTGAAAATATGCAACATGATAAGATAAAGCCCAATGCTGTGGCTTATCTAGCTATTTTAACTGCTTGCAGCCATGCTGGTTTGGTTGATGAAGGTTGGAATTATTTTACAAGTATGAGCAGATATGGTGTTTCTCCTGACCTCGAGCACTATGCTTCTATTGCAGATCTTCTTGGTCGCGCTGGAAGATTAATGGAAGCTTATAAATTTATCAATGACATGCCTATAAAGCCCACCGGGAGTATTTGGGCTACGCTGCTATCAGCTTGCCGAGTTCACAAAAATGTTGAACTGGCTGAAAAAGTTGCCAAAGAAATGACTACAGCTGATCCTGGGAACATGGGACCTTATCTGCTCTTGTCAAATATGTATTCAGCAGCTGGGAGATGGAACGATGCATCAAAATTAAGAACTAATATGAAGATGAAAGGAATGAAAAAACCACCAGCTTGCAGCTGGATAGAAGTTAGGAACCAGGTGCATGCTTTTGTCTCGGGAGACATATCTCACCCATGTTATGATCAGATACATGTAGCACTAAGAGATCTTTATGAACGCTTGAAACAAGAAGGTTACGTTCCTCAGATTAGTGAGGCACTACATGATGTTGATGAGGAGCAAAAGAGTGATTTGCTGTATACTCATAGTGAACGGCTTGCGATAGCTTTCGGCATTATTAGTACACCTGCTGGGACAACCATTCGCATAATTAAGAATCTCCGTGTATGCGTAGACTGTCACACAGCCATAAAGTTCATATCCAAAATTCTGGGGAGAGATATAATTGTTAGAGATAATAGTCGATTTCACCTTTTCAAAGATGGGAATTGTTCATGTGGAGACTACTGGTGATGGTAACTATGGATTTGTATCCATAATGTAGCATAAAGGGCTTTATTATAAGCAATAAAAGGGGAAAATACATATGGGAAGGTTTCTAGGAAATGACAGATTATATAGGTGTTCAGACGGTCTCTAGTATTTCACATTTTATGAGAAAATCTAGAGATCGTTCCTCAGTGCTTTGATATGAAAGTTACGCGGTCCTCCGAACGCTGTTCAACTGTATGGTATTGGAGGCATGGATATCATCAATCCATTAAGCTAGCAAACTGGATAAATGTCCTGATGTGAACTTTCAATTTCTCTTGGTGTTACAAAAGGTTAGAGACCTTGAAGCCGTAATATTCTTGAGCTTATGGCTGTTGTGCCTTCGTTGGTGATGGAATTTTGGAATTCCGCGAGGTCATATACAAGTGAGGAGGATTCTTGGAACTTGACTTATAACTTCAAATTTTTTCCTGTAACTTATAATTTTTTCTGGGACTTTAGAATATTTTGTGCAACCTGAAAAAGAGAAGTTGTGGTGTCAAATGTAGTGCTATCTTTGTCATTTAGAAGCTACCTTTGTGGATATGATTATGTATTGTTAGACACTTCTTCAGGAAAAGATATGGAACTTCTGAATGGTCAGAAGGTGGTTTTTCTTTCTTTTCAGGACCGCTTCATTACATTTGTTGCACTTCCTTGTTGCTGAAAAGTTTAGGAGCTCTCACCAATTCTAGCAAAGATTCATTCCTCTTCTAAATTGCTTGCTAGATATCTGGTCAAGCTGCAAGAACTGTAAGTCTTTTACGCAGATGATAACATGTGGCACCATGCTACAATCTGAACATGCAAAGTACTTGTCACATCTTGATAGTGCAAATAAATATCATGATGCTTTAAGGAGGCTGTAGAACTAAAGCTTGAATCAAGCATCATGATATTTATTCTTCTCATATGTTCTAGCCTTGGGGCCAGAGTTACCTGACACTTGTTGCTGGTGGGAGGTGATAGGTATTCCATGGAATTAGTCGAGGTGCGCGCAAGTTGGCTCGGACACTACGTTTATAAAAAGAAAATGACAAGATGATTACTTGATCTACATAATTCTTCTTCAAGAAAAAAAAAAGAAGGAAAAAAAAGTTCTTGATATCTTCTTAGTGGAGAACATTTCAATTTTAACCTCTCAACCAGCTTTGACAAATTCATGTTATCTGGGTAAGACACTACAAAAAGTAAACTCATTAAAAATTGATGAGTTGACTATGGTATATTAAAATAATATAAGCATGATGCACTTGTTCAATAAAACCAAGTTTAATTTTGTGATATTTTATTTCAAATTGATCCAAAAAAAACATATTGATATTGTGCAATTATGAAATATTCAAAATTATATACTAAGAGAGGAATTTTGGTGTGCTTAGACTCTCTTCATTGGAGAATTCAAGCTATACATGAAAATCACAGGTATTTCCCTGTCTAACTGAAGTAGTTTCTCATGAATTCAGGCTATCTGTGTTGATTGTTCCTTACTCTTGCTCATCCTTTCGTAAGGCCATGGCCCTGGAACACAGAGAATTGTGAGGTGAAATTAACTTTGTTATTTGCTGACTAGGCTTGAGATTTTCCAACTCTCATTCTCGTTTGGTGTTGTTATCATTTATTCAATATTTGACCATGGATCATGTGGTTGGTGGCACGTATAAATTGGGTCGGAAGGTCGGTAAAGGATATTTTGCGGAACTTTATTTGGGTAATCTCCATGTGTATTTCTGATTGTTGTTAATTTCAATTGTAGCTCAACTTTTCTGTTATGGGGTTTGAGTTGACCTTGAGTTTTGTTTTTTTGTATCAGGGATAAATGTGCTAACTGAAGAAGAAGTTGCTGTGAAGCTGGTGAGTATGTTGATTAGCTGAAGCTGGAAGTTCACCACATTAACATGGTGACAATTGTGTTAGAGATTTAGCCTTTCACTGGAATTGAATAAAATTAAAAAAGTTGGTTTTGCGGAAGCTGAAAATTCACTCCATAATTTGCTGTCAATTGTCTTAAGATTGAGCCTTTCACTAAGTAAACTTAACAACCTAATAAAGTTGAGAAGAATGACTCTTTCACTGGAAGATGAGAGGATTATTCTTGAATCATAAGTTTTCATAATATAAAACTTAAAATATGATAGATGAACATTGCAATTTTGGCTGAATGTTCGAGTAACATTGTTTATTTGGCCCTTTTCTCGGTTCTAGTTTGTTAGTGTGCATTTGCTGGATATAGTTTCTATTTCTGACGAGTCTTGATTTTGCTTAATTATTCAAGATCAGCATATTTGTTTGGTAGGGGACCCTATTGTGATATATTTATGGACTTCATATGTGGTTTGCTTCTCACCAGCTGTCCAGAGTGTGTTTCTAGTGCTACATTTAGTATTATGGTTTCTTCTTTGGTACATTAGCTTTGCTGTTTCCAGAATCTAATTTTTTGGTTTGCAGGAATCAACTAAAACAGAACACCCTCAGCTTCATTATGAATCAAAGCTGTATAGGCTTCTACAAGGAGGAAGTAAGTGATAGCTTCTACCCATGAATTTCGATGACTGTTATATTTTCTTGCTGAACTGATTTTTTAAATAATTTTTTTATCATTTTCTTATTTCAAGCTGGAATTCCAAACGTCCGGTGGTTTGGCGTTGAAGGTGAATACAATGCCATGGTTATTGACCCTCTTGGGCCAAGTTTGGAAGACTTGTTTAACTATTGCAATAGGAGGTTCACTTTAAAGACAGCTTTAATGCTGGCAGATCAATTGGTAAATAGCCAAAATTATATACTGATTAAAGCATAATTATTGCAGCTGGTTGCCTGATACTTATTCTTTGATGCAGATTAATAGGATTGAATTTATGCACTCAAGAGGATTTCTTCACCGTGACATTAAGCCCGAAACCTTCTTAATGGGTATAGGGCGTAAAGCAAATCAGGTGTGCACTTTATCATATGTTCTCTAAGTGTACATGTATGTCTATGGTTGACAACAAAGTTATATGCTCCGATTATTTTTCCTAGATATTCTGGAAAGTTCTCCACGTACTTGTTTGGGAACTAAATCACCGAGGAATTAGACAAGTTGGTTATCTATTAGGGTTTTGGGTTACAAGTGCTCCTCCAGCATTTGTGGAGCTGGACATATTGTAGCCTGCTTGTTGAGCTCAAACAAAGAACTTTAATTTGGGATGGAAGGGTTACATTCTTTTTTTGGATATTCCCTTATGTCACTCAAGAACTCGTACTTCTTATCTTTCTCTCTCGTGTACCCCTCTGCCATTCTCTTCTCTTAGGGCTCAATGAAGTTGATCCCTGTGATGTGAACCTTTACATTCTTGTCCAAGAAGGCTCTAGCTAACTGGCCAGGTGTGCATTTCTTTCAGTTTCCTGGAACAATGCTCAAAATCCTGTGCATTGTGCAGTTGCATATTCTTGGAAACATTTTTTTAGAACTGGTACTATTAAAAAAATTGTAAAATTCTTGGACACATTTAATATGTTGAAAGATTTGCCTCTTTCTTTAGTTTATGTTTTCCAGCATAATGCTTATGTTTGACTTTGGGATGCCAACAAACAACAACATACCCAGTAATTGCCAACAAAATTCTGGTAATTAGGCATGTGCAAGCTATGTTGCTCGGACTCTCCGAAAATGGTGCCGCACCCGCGTCGGATCCTTCAAATGCACTACTTTTGAAGGATCTGATTTGCACCCGTCGACATTCTTGAAAAGTCCGAGCGACTAGCTTGCAAGTGGAAGAAATTTTTCCTACCTGGAAGGAGGATAAAGTTCCTCCAATCTTTAATTTATAAACAAACTGACCTAGCCAGAGAACCTGTCATCCTATCTTGTATGATGCTACTAAACATGAACATTTTGTAATTACTTGATCAGCAGCTTCCTGTCTCGGTAGTACCTTTGTTAATCTACACTAGAACGAGTTTATGAATCTGATGAAAAATAATTCCAATGACATGACCTATGCATCTCTAAGTCAGTTTTGGGTGTTCTATTTTGTTAAAACAGGTATACATAATTGACTATGCTCTTGCCAAGAAATACAGAGATCATGAGACACATGAGCATATACCATTCAGGTATCAACCTCTTCTGTTCCTTAAAGATCTCATATGTTTTCCATTTCTAGAAATTAAAAAGGAATATTACTTGGTTAGGTGATTTAATAATTGGTCAATTCACTACAATGTGTTAGTAACGACGATTGCTTGAGAAGCTGACGGTTGAATCTTTTTCCAATTGTTTCTTTGGCGGCTTCATTTTTTGACCTTTTGGAGTAATGATGATTTAAACTTTTACTCGAACCTAGTTATGTCCTTCCCTGGTTTTTAATATTTGTTTCAAAGATCTCTTTTGCATAAGCTGAACCAAAGAAATTAAAGCTGCCCTTATTGATACGGAAAACCGTCTTGTTTGATTAGATTTGTGTAGATTTTGAATGCACATGGTGTACTATGTTATTGAGAAATAAATAGGCGGATGAAAAGGTACTCCATTCCTGCTAAGATGCTTCTCTTATTTTGTTCTTTTCCTTTCTGTCTCTTCTATATACACTTCCAAGCTTCTCAATAGTTGATATTGAAATCAAGAAACAAATTTGGGGGTTCTGCATTCTTTTTAAGCTTTTCTTTCCTTGACCTTATTTTTAGTAGAGTTTAGAGTGGATGGTTGGAGTGTAATATGGATTATTGAACGACTTACTTTGCTTCCTTTGACAGGGAAAACAAAAGGCCCACAGGAACAGCTCGTTATTCTAGTGTTAGCACCGATCTTGGAGTTGGTAAGTGAGGATGATATTACCTGAAGCACCTAAGAGTATTTTAAACTTTACATAATTACTTTCTTCCTTGTATGCAGAACAAAGCAGAAGAGACGATCTGGAGTGTCTTGGTTATGTGCTTATGTATTTTTTGAGAGGAAGGTTTGGAAATTACAGATAATGTTTATATTTGGTGCCTGTATGGTTATTTCCATGTGCATTACTTGTTTCTTACAATTAGCATATTTAATTGTCTTTTCTAGTCTGCCATGGCAAGGTCTGAAAGCTGACGGCAAAAAGCAGAAATATGACAAGATTACTGAGAAGAAGATGCTTACACCTATAGAGGTAGTGTCTTTATGTACATTTCAACAACAACATACCTAGTTAAATCCCACTAAGTGGGGTCTGGGGAAGGTAGACTGTATGCAGACCTTACCACTACCTCGTGGAAGTAGAGAGACTGTTTCCGCTAGACGCTCAACTCAAGTACAACAAACCCAAGTAAAAGAAGAAGAAAAACAATGAAGAGAGCATAACAATTAATAAGAAAGTCGTATAAAATCTACCCTTCGGAGTGACCCAGTGGTTTGGGCTTGGGACTTCCAAGTTGGAGGTCACAAGTTCGAAATCCCTTGTCAGCGAAAGCAAGGGGTTGCCTTTTGGGTCGATTTGCACCGGGCTTGCCTAGTGCGGGTTAGCTCTCTTGTGTGGTTTGCGAGCTATTGCATAGGAGCGGGGATTTTACCTTGTGCACACCCAAAGGGTAGCGGCTGCAGGTTTCCCTTGTCATAAAAAAAAAGAAAGTAGTGTAAAGTCTACAAGAAAGAAACAATAACAACAACAAAATAGTGTGATAATCGAAACATTGTAAACAACAGATGGCAAGAACTACATGGGTACGACTAGTACTAAGACATGCACTAACAAGCTTAAACGACCTCCACGGCTTCCTATCTAGAGTCATGTCCTGTCTAATCACCTCCCCCCAATACTTTTTCAGCCTACCTCTACCCCTCCGCCTAACCCCCTACAATCAGCCTCTCGCACCTCCTCACTGGGGTGTCAGTGCACCTCCTCACTGGGTCTTGCAAATATATCTGTCCTAAATTATACCGTCTCTGATCAAACTGCATAACGACCTATTCCGCTGGTCTCTGTTAAACAGGTGCTTTGCGAATCCTATCCCTCAGAATTCATATCATATTTTTATTATTGCCGATCATTACAGTTTGAGGACGAACCAGATTACTCATACCTGAAGAGGTTATTCCGTCACCTTTTCATTAGTGAGGGTATGTTTTTTGTTTCATGATCTGTTTCCTCCTTTGTATTATCTCTTTGGCACAAGTAGTAATATTTCTAGTCTTATACAACAAAATTATTTTTGTATGCATTGCAGGTTTTCAATTTGACTATGTGTTTGATTGGACTCTCTTGCATTACTCTAAGGTTAGCTCCAGTTCAAGAGCACAAGTCTCTATTTAATCTGCTCTTGCTAAAAATTATCTACTGTTTGATTTTTGCACTGTAAAAGATGCCCTAATCTTACATTTTATTTGTTTTTCAGCAAATTGCAAGATCGCCAGAAAAGATCCCTGGTATTGTTTCAAGAAACTTTGGCTTCAGAAGTAGCAGTTTAAATTTCTAATATTATCATGATGTTAGCACAATAGCACTTTAGTGGACGTTTCGATATAAAAATTGTGATTTTTATTTCTTTTAAAATAGTACTTGTTTTTAAGTGGACTCAAGTGTGTCTGGACATGAATACATATTAGAGTTGATTTTGAATTTTTGTGACCGATTTGGAGGGAGGGGGGGATGTGAATTCTATGTCCAAATAGCTTTTTCGGAACAAAATTCCTGGAAAAAGTGAAAATGTCCATGTTGAACATGAAACGCGTTATACTAGGCTAAAATTTATTGATGATGATTTCTTTTTTTAACTGTCAGCATGTATAAATTATTTTCGATATGTTTGTTGATGGTTTTTTTGTGTTCCTTTTTTAGATCAGAAGAAGGAGAAGAAGAAAGTGAAATTTGCAGAAGATTTGGTGGAGCCAAGTGGGAACAGTGAAGAATATAGAAAGCTTCATCATTCTAATAGGGTCAAGAATGCTCTTAAACGATATGAAATTGAACAAAAATGTCCTTAGTTAATAGTTCATTCTAAAAATGTCACTATCGTCAATAGTTTGATCCAAAAATATCTGTCTAAAAGAGTTGGCATTAAGGAGACATATCCTATTTCACATCAAGAATAGGACCAAAAAAAGCATGGGACCAAAAAAAGACAACATAATAAAACAGTAGTAGTAGAGTTAGCTTTATACATATTGTGTGTCTGAATTGACAATGTGTTTTTGAGGTCATTTGCCACTATTTGTTGTCTGTCTCTTGGCATGTGAAAGTAACATTGCAAATGCACAAATAGACAAAATATGCCTGTGATTTTGGTTATGGTGATCTTTTTTGCAGACCATGATTGTTTTTTTTTAAGTATTATCTTACAATATGATCTTATTGTCTGTCAGAGCATGCCTATTGAGACAAAAAAAGATGTTCTGATTAATATGCACTTCCGCTGTCACCACTTAATATAAAATTTATATAATATAGTTTTACTTCTTATCTTCCCTTTTTTTAGTGTATGTATTGGTGAACTTTCACATTTTGGAATTTCACTAAAAATGTTATTGAATTTGTGAACTTCTTTTGGTTAGATTGAAAATGTTATTGAATTTGTGAACTTCTTTTGGTTAGATCGAAAGAAATGTGTCTCGAGATTGATAATCTCTTAGAAACTATGTGGATTTAGCAAAGATAATAGAACAAACTGGAGCAAGCTCCATAAGTGGCATTTACATGTTAATAATAGTCTTATCCCTCCCACCCCCCACCCTTTGTAGTCCCCAAACCCCACACTACCCCATCCCCATATGCTATCCTTATAAATGTTCTTTGAATGATATTTTTGCTTACTTAACAAACAATAAAACATAAACGTTTTTATATATATAATACACAACTTAGATATCATAATCTTTTAAATTTTCTACCATTTGAAAAAAATACAGAATTCCCTCTCGGATACATCCCTATCCCTTTTCGAATATATCCCTCCGATTAAGTAATGTATTGGACAACCAAAGAATGCATTCGAGAGCAATGAAAAATTCAGAATTTTGTAATTGAGGAATCTTTCGAGATAAGATATAAATAACTCCCAAATATATTGAATTTCTATACAAAAGTATTTTTGGTGACAATTTCTTTTTTCATTATCAAACACCACACTTGAGGTTTAATCATTGTTGCTAGACTTCCATAAGGGGTCCTACATTTTATAGGACTAAAATATTGTTGATATCTTGTTAGTGGTGAACATTTCAATTTTGACCTCTCATTTAGCTTTGACAAATCATTATATTGTTGAATTGGATATGGTAATATTATTAAATTATAAAATAATATAAACATGATGCATTTATTCAATCAAACCAAGTTGAATTTTGTAATATTTTATTTAAAATTGACCACAAAAAATAACATATTGATATCGTGCAATAATAAAAAAATAATAAAAAATTATGGTCTAAGAGAGGATTTTTGGCGTGCTAAGACTCTCTTCGTGAGAGAATCCAAGTTAAACATGAAAAAATTACAATAGTTGAATTCAATAATTAAAGTATTTTTTTTTTCATCAACGCGTAATAAAGTGCTTTAAATCATTTGTACCAAGGATTACTTATTCTTGCTTGTTTTTTCATAAAGTCGTGGCCACAAAACGTAGATACTTTTGAAGCAAAATTAATTTTGTTATTTGTTGACTAGGCATGAGATTCATTCTAACTTTCATTTCTACCATCAAAGTTTTTGTTGATCCTCTATGAAATCCGTCCTTCGTATTGAGGAAGAGCGGACATTCTCTAAAATATCATATTATTATATAGATATAAGTAATATTAGTAACAATATATCAAGAAACTATTCACATATAACATATTTATAAATCCTAATCCTATTCTATTAAATTTTGTTTATAGTTCAAGACCCCACAATCTTTTTTTTGATATTGAATGAAAATATAATAGCAACACGTTTCTCCATTGGATTGGTTTGTACTCATTTGTCCATAAAAAAGTGCCATATATTTTTTTTAAAAAATAATTCCTTTCGCACAAACAATTATTTTTATTTATAGAATAATGTTTTTATCCTTATACACGATCGACCAAAAATAAAAATATCGACCGAGTCGGAGGTGTTAAACATTATTGGATTAAAGAAAAGGTCAAGATGCCTCTTTCGAAAACCCTCACGAAAATGATAAAACATTATAATTTATTATCAAAGTTCGTGTTTTTAGAGAGTCAATATTAGGAATTAGGATTATGTTGGTTTTTGGAACGATCATAAAAGTTTCTGATAATTAAATTATTCGAGAGCATTGAAAAACTTTTGAAAGTTAATACGACAAAAAAAAAAAAACAGGATCACCCAACAAATCTAATAATAAAATTTATGATAATAGCATCTCACATGTTGCATGTTTTTTATTTTGATATCTCATCCAATGTTTGTTATTCACGTTAAAGTCCAGCGAAATTTAAATTTGCGTTGGAAAGTTTCATATGAAAATAAACGCCTTCTAATAATTTTAACTTTGTATCTAGTAGAACTCAAATTTGAAATCTTTAATTAAAAACGAAAAAATATTTATCAAAATACCGCAGTTTTTGTTGGTCATGTTACCATTCTGGTAACTTATTGAATTTGACTGCAATGTGAATAATTATATATATATATATATAAGAGAACCCTAGGCCCGCCTATGTGGCGTCACCACAAATCAAAATTCCTTTTTTAATTTATATATTTACAAACTAGCCTTCCGTTTTCATGAAAAGTTGCGACTTATATGAAAAGTTGTAACTTCTATGAATAGTTGCGACTTTTATGAAAAGTTGTGTCTTTTATGAAAGGTGATGACCTTTTCAAAAGGTTGTAACTTTTTCAAAGAGTTATGACCTTTTCGATAAGGCACAATAAATATTTGTTCACACTATCCTTTGTTGTCTAGCTACAAATAGAGGGATTTCTTCTCATTTTAAAACAACAAAAATTATGAACTTTTTTTTCTTCTATACAATTAAATATACATGTACAATTTTTTCCTTTCTGTTTAGTCCTATTGTTACAGATCATGGTATGTTTATTTACAGTCATTAATTTATCCTTATGTTATTAATTGTTGTTTTTGAGTACATATTTTAAACTTTGTTGTTTATGTTTATGCAAATTATTGTTTAAGTATTTGTTAGTACAGATTAAACAACACACGTTAATTGAGTATTCACACAAGTTTTCTCTACTAAAACTGTTGAAAGTACAATAAAAAAATTCCTTAAAGATATATACTATTATCTCTTGAAGACAAAATTCAAATTTGGTATGCCATTGTAAGGACAGAAAGACCTTAAAAACTTTATCGCACCTTGATATGCAAAGTGAACCAGGAAAAGAAGACAAGAATTAATAAACTTTTGACATGGGTTCAAGGATGTGCCGGATGACCTATAGAAGAATACGACTAGACTGGAGCCTCTTTTAATCATAACTACACAATAAATTAATTGCTCATATTCAATATGAAATATGGAATAGATTCTCAAGTTTCCTGCAAGTTGTAAAAATTTTCTTGAAGTAATAGATGTGTTTCTCGACATTGTGATTGGAATAAAGGTGTAGTTTCAAATTGAACGTCATCACTCTGGTATGTTGAATTTTAAAAAACACCCAAACAAACTGAATAATTTGTGTAATCTTTTTCCCTTTCAAGTAAAAATAATAAGTTGAATTGTTATCTAATATGATACATTCTCTCTTTAATTTTTCATTTTAATAATTACTTATGATACATTTAAATGGGGAACTTTAAAGTAATATATGTAAAGCAAAAGGTAGAACTGACTTTCTACACGTTAGAATTAGAAAATTTGTTCTTTTTTCATCCTTTCAAAATTTATTTATCCCTTCACCAAGGATTTTTTATTTATTAAAAAATTTAATATCTCCGGTATGGTTGATGTTCATTTGAATCCCCAAAAATATCAAGTAATAACACTTCCTGAACAAAAAGATAAATTATAAAATCAAATTAAAGATGATTGATTGAAGAATAAATGATAAGATATTATAATTATCATCTTTCTTTACATTATTAATGTTTGTTATATGCAATCTTGTATGTAAGATAATATAGTATTTTAGTTTTAATGACTCATAGATTTTAAGTACTCCATTATTTTATAAATTCAGTGATATTAAATTCTCGCGCGAAGCACGGATGAATTTACTAGTGATATATAATTTGAAAACTATCAAAAGATGTCAAATATCCTGTCGGAAATTATTTTGCAACACGTTTTTCTTTTTTATTTTAAACACGTTAGCAAGATTGAAAAACATTTGACAAATTTCATAGTTTCTATCTATAAAAATTTAAAATTCTAATATTACCATGGTACTTCTAAAAAATATTTACATAAATTCGAAAAAGTCAAAACTTAAATTTATTTTAGTTAATAAAAATGAAACACTACCTATTCCCAAGAAAAAAAAATACAATTCAATACCTTCTAATAAAAAAATTAAATAATACGAACTCTATGCTTATTATCTAAAAAAATAGTAGCAGACAAATTTGAAATTCAAAAACATCATAATACCACCTATTTAAGTTAATCATAGTTAATACATAAAAAAAAGAATATTATTAATCCTCTTAATTAAATATAAAAAAATCATTATAATCACAAATATGTTCTTCTTCATTCTTTTTTTTTTTCAAAAATTATTCTCCCACCATCTAACATTTTTCTTTTAGAGAAAAAGAATTTATCCCACCCCACCAAAAAAAAAAATACTAAAAAAGAAAATAATATGATAATAATAATTATAAAAAGAAAAAAAAAAGAAAAAGAAAAAGCTTAATTTTCTCAGCTTTTTCTTTTCTTTGTATGTATAATCCCATTTCCCCCTAATTTCTCCTTTTTCATCATCTTCTTCTTCTTCTTCTCTTACACAGAAAAAAATTCCCATAAATTTTCCGCAGATTTCGTTTCTGTTAGATTCTCTCTTGTCCCCCCCCCCCCAC